AATCTGGGACCTACCAAGGTCAGAGGGTTTCATGGCTAGATTAAATAAGACTTTAAATCTTGATTCCCACTCTCTTCAGCCATTTTTTTGTAGATACATCCACTCATTCATTCAGATCCGACCCTGAAGAATTGATTAACATTTTGCCCTGATGAAGTATTCTAAGTGTTCCATTCCTAGCACTCCAGTAGGAGCCACAGCGAGCTTGGGCAGAGGGAAGGCTTTTCAGCTGCCCATTCGGAAACGACAGGAAACACCTGTTAAATTCTACAAACCCCAGGAGCCAGGAGGTCTGTGGCATTTCTATTTCAACATGACGATTCATTTCAACACATTTCTCTGCTCCGCTCCCCCCCCCCCGCCCTGGGAAAGAGGAGTGGTTCTTGCCCCTGCTGCTGGAGGGCTTTAAAAGGATGTCCTCTGCTCTGTAACCTGATGCTCACTAGCTGACACCCAGTCCTGTCACTTGAGAGTAGAAGTCATTTCTTCAGAACTAAAGCTCCGTGTCTACTCTCAGTTTCAGGATGTCCCCTAATCAAACATAAAGAGCATCCATGGCAAAGCCCAGAGGTCAGCTCAGCAGATGGAATTACATACCACATACTCGCTCTGGGAGGGAATGCTTCAGGAGGCACTCCAGGAGGGCATGGCAATTCTTGATCCTTTTAGAGATCCACCAAACCCACAGATGCTCTTGGTGATCCAACCCACACAAACGGATCATGGCCAGGACTCAGAAAGGACTGGGTACACCTGACCTTATAACAAAAACAGAAGAGAGCTAGGGCTCTGAAGCAGACAGTGGGATCAAATTCTGATGGCTCCCGAACAGGCTTGGCAATCCTCATGAGTGCCGTTCTCATTAGGCTGAGGACGAAATGAGATAACACACATGTAGTACTCAGAACCACCAGCCTGACAAGGTAGGAAGGGTTCAATACATGTGGGTCATTATTATTAGCAAAAGTCATGTAGGGAGAGAAAGAAAACACATGATGTATAGTATTTTTATTTTATTTTATTTCTCAGACAATGTCTCATATTGTAGCAAAGTCTGGCCTCACAACAATTCTCCTGCCTCTGCATCCCAAGTGCTGGAGTTACAGGTGTGAGACATCACAGCTGGCCTGTTAGCTTTTTTGAAAGTGTCTCCATATGTAGCCCAGACTGGCCACAAACTTGATATCCTCCCACCTCAGCCTCTTAAGTGCCAGCTTACAGACATGGGCCCCCACACCCAACTTAATATGATTAAAAACAAAACTTCTGTTCAGTATCAAACATACTTAATAATGACAGCTACAAAAACATACCAACAAGAACAACAATGTCAATACTCCATGGCAGGGAGGGACCTCATACGTAAAGGTCAAGGCTGCTACCTAGTAATTCAGAAGGAGCTCAGTCATTCAGGGGCCTGCATGGAGGTGTAAACAAGGTGACTCACCTTTGGGAAAGTGTGCCATCATGCATTAGCCTATATGAAAGGAGCTTTTGCTTATCTGTAAGTCATCTTTTTTTTTAAAGATTTATTTATTATGTACACAGTGTTCAGCCTCCATGTATGCCTGCAGGCCAGAAGAGGGCGCCAGATCTCATTACAGATGGTTGTGAGCCACCATGTGGGTTGCTGGGAATTGACCTCAGAACCTCCAGAAGAGCGGTCAGTGCTCTTAACCTCTGAGCCATCTCTCCAGCCCCAAGTCATCCTTTTTTTTAAAGATGTATTTATTTTTATGCACATTGGTGTGAGGGTGTCGGATCTTCTGAAACGGAGTTACAGACAGTTGTGAGCTGTCCTGTGGGTGCTGCAATTGAACCCTGGTCCTCTGGAAGAGCAGTCATTGCCCTTAATCCCTGAGCCATCTCTCCAGCCCTGTAAGTCACCTTTATAGCCAGAAGAGGTCACTGAAATGCGCACACACACGCACGCGCACACACACACACACACCCCTCACATGTGAGGAAAGAAAACAGAAAAAAAGGAAGCTAATTCAGACATCAAGTCCATTTTCTAAACTGACTTGGTGAGTTAGGACGTGTCCTCATCTGTCATAACCTGATTTGGAGCAGAAGGTGTGTGTGTGTGTGTGTTGTTTCTTACGTAGCACAGACAGACAGGCCTAGAACTTGCCATTCAGCCCACACTGACCTTGAATTCGTGAAAACCTCCTAAAGACTGTAATATCAGCTGAGCAGCAGCACGCTTGGCTGCACCTTTATTTTAGTACTTATGGAAACAGTTCCACAGAGTAGAAGAGGGGTCACCCAAGACAGAAAAGATGAAAACTACCACTACCAACAACACAATCTTTTCAAATTAAAGCTTAAGCCAGGCAATGGTGGAGCACAACTTTAAACCCAGCACTGCAGACAGAGGCAGGTGGATCTCTGTGAGTTCAAGGCCAGCGTAGTCTATAGAGTGAGTTTCAGGACAGCCAAGACTGTTTCACAGAGAAACCCTGTCCCAAAAAAACTAAAAGTAAAGCTCAGACAGAGTCCATTACCAGGGCACTCTTCTAAAAACATAATTTATCCAAGCCATTCACCAGCTCAAATTCTTTAAAATCTTCCCACAGCCTGAGGAATGAAAACCTCCCAGGTAATGTAGCCCACTCGCCCTTCCACTGCCTTTGCCATAGGCCAGCTGCCTCCCTTATTTGTTTCAGGAAGAACAAGGGCGGTCACGTCAGCCTGTGTCTACAGCACATACCACAGGGTACCAGGCACATGGTGGCCACGCAGTAAATGTTTGTCAAGTCTACAAACACAGGAATGCCTTTAGACACACACTTGGTGCCTCACTCCAGGTGAGAACCCTTTTCCCACCCGCCCCAGTCCCTCTGCACAGCCGCCCAGCAATCCGTCACAGCACTCCCTCTACTCTCAGTTCCTACAGAACCCAGTGGCTCTGCAGCTCCACTCTTCCTAACATCTCCCGCAAATGTGATATCTGTCCCACGCGCATGGCAGGTTTGTGACAAGAGGCAACGGGAAGAACTGATTTTAGGAAGGAAGACCTACTTATGAGATGGTGAGAAAAGTTTATGTCAAACACCTGCAGAGGGCCCAGGACCAAGGACACAGTTCCTACACGCTAGCTGCTACCATTGCTCAACTTTCAGAACCTCAGGTCTCTCGCAGATGAAAGGAGAGTGGCAGGAAGTCCCAGGACAGGTAGATGTGGAGGCTTAGGCTTCCAAACCTGCATTCAGGAGGTCAAGGCAGAAAGATTGCCAGGAGTGCCCTATTCCACATAAATAAGTTCACTATACCAAGTGAAACAATTAAAAAAAAAAAAGACTGGGTTTGGTTGTTCACTTTTAATCCCAGCACTCTGGAGGCAGAGGCATGTGGACCACAGTGAGTTTGAGACCAGCTTGGTCTACATAATGAATTCCAAGACAGTCAGCTACATAGCTGTCTCAAAACCCAATAAAATAAAACAACCCTCTGAGGCCTGGAGATGGAGCACCTATCCATCATGGCAGACTGACTCTCCAGCGTTCAGAAACACTTGAGTCCTCTTTTGGCGAGGTATTCATGTGGAGAACAGCATCTGGGCTTCTTCAGCACACAGAGAACACTCAAGAGCAACTTGACTGCTATGTTTTTGTTTTCTTTGTTTTCTCAAGATTTATCTATTTGTTTATCTATTTTATGTGCATTGGTGTTTTGCCTGCATATATCTGTGGAAGTGTGTCAGGTTCCCCTGGAACTGAAATTACGGACAGTTGTGAGCTGCCCTGTGACTGCTGGGAACTGAACCTGGGTCCTCTGGAAAATCAGCCATCTTTCCAGCCCCCACTGGCAGATCTTCTGTGGCTCCTGCTACTGAGCCAGTTGCAGTGACCATACCTATAGCCCTTGTCGCTCAGGACTCCGAGAGAGGACAGCAGAAGTTTTGAGGAATGAGATGAGCAAATGGCTAAGAAAGGTGTATTCAGCCAGGTGTGTCCCAGCATTCAGGGAGGCAGAGGCAAGAGGCAGGTGGATCTCTGTGAGTTCCAGGACAGCCAAAGATACACAGAGAAGCCCTGTCTCAAAATACCAAAAAAAAAAAGGGCTGGAGAGATGGCTCAGAGGTTAAGAGCACTGATTGCTTTTCAAGAGGTCCTGAGTTCAATTCCCGGCAACCACATGGTGGCTCACACCCATCTATAATGAGATCTGATGCCATCTTCTGGTGTGCAGGAAAACATATTGTATATATAACCAATAAATAAATCTTAAAAAAAAAAAGTTAGACTCTTTGGAATAGAATGTTTAAAAAAAAAAACAAGAAAAGAAGGAAGAGGAGGAGGAGAAGAAGAAAAGTGTATTCTATTTTGTTTTTGTTTTCTGTTTCAAGACAGGATCTCACTATGTAGTCCACTGGTTCTCAACCTTCCTAATGCTATGACCCTTTAAGATAGTTCCTCATGTAATTTTGCTAATTACAATAGAGTAAATATCTGATACAGTGTGGTCCTGTAAAAGGGTCCTTTGAGCCCCAGGTTGAGAACCACTGATGTAGCCTAAGATGGCCTTTAGCGTGCAGTAGCCCTCTCACCTGGGCCTCCCAAGTGCACACTTGCGTGCAACTCTGAAACCAGGGGAGATTCATTCCATCACTCAGCAAACACTGACCAAGGTTTATCGTTTTGTACCCGGCTTTCTGTTAGTCTAGTGCACAACAGTAAACACAGCCAAGGCAGATAATAAACAGAGGAGGCGACAAACAAACAGGGGCTGGGCCATGGGGTGGGCAAGCAAGGGCACCGGCCAGGGCTCTTTATGGCAAAGTATGGATCCCTGGGAAAGCTCCAAGCTCTGAGACTCGGCCCCCACCTCCCCACCCTGCCCCAGACTGCAACAACTTATCTTGGGCTTCCCCCAGCCTATGGGCACACCTGGTTCCTCAAGCCCCCTGTTGCACCAACAAACTTGTTTGTCCCAGGGCTGATGGAACTGTTCACTGAGCCCAAGCAAAACAGTCAGTAAAAAGATTATACCCCTACCGCCACTGGCCTGTTTCCCAGGAAGTTCAGGTCGCTGTTCTCTCCAAACAGGTAACCTTCTGGATGTGTGGAGTCAAACTTCTCTCCTCCCATGATGAAGTGGCTGGCGAAATAGCTGCCTGGAGAGCGACAACAAAGAGAATCAGCCGAGCAGATGATGTCAGACTGGACGGAGCAAAAAAAAAAAAAAAAAAAAAAGAGGCTAAGACTTCAAATGAGAATCAGATCAGTTTCTCCTCCTAATTTCAGAGCCTGGCACAAAAGCAGCAAAACCATATCAGACAACCCCAAACAACAGACAAAAGAGGTCACTACTGTTCTTGTAACAAGCTTGAATCCTCATCCTGATCTAAAAATACCATTAACCAAAGGCAGGAAAGTAAGTCCATGACTGTCCACAAATGAACCCATTTGTATTCTGCTACTGATAGTCTGGATGGGTGTATACTGTGTGTGTGAGGGGGTATACAATGTATGGGGGATATGCTATGTGTTGGGGGTATACACTGTGTAGGAGGGTATACACTGTGTGTGTGGGTGGGGTATATATGCTGTGTGTGTATGGGATATACAATGTTGTCTGTGGGGTGTACATTATGTGTGTGGGGTACACAGTGTGTGTGTGTGTGTCAAGTGCCAAAGATCAATATCACTGGGACCTGCAGCTCACCAACTAGACTCGCTGGCCGGCCAGTGAGTCCAGAGATTCATTGTTTCCATCTTCCTACGGCTTAATCTACAAGCAGATCACACTCAGTTTTTCACACGGGTTCAAGAGACTGAACTAAAGGGACTCATGCTTACATAGCAAGCACTTTACCTACTGAGCTAGCTCCCTAGCTGCTACTTGGTTTTGTTTTTGTTTGAGTTAGGGTGTCACTCTGTGTAACCCACGCAGGCCTAGAACTCACTATGTAAACCAGGCTGCTCTGGAACACAGAGATCTGCCTGCACCTGCCTCCTAGAAGCATGCACCACTACCACAGCCCGTTTGTTTTTTGAAACAGAGTTCCACTCCGTGTAGCCCATGCAGGCCTAGCACTCACGGATCTTCCTGATCAGCCTCCCAGTTGCTAGGATTACAGGCGTACACCACCAGGCTCAGCTGATCCTGAATTTCCCACATCAACCTGAGGTGGTTCCTGAGCATCTGAGAATCTTAACTACCGGTATCAGTCATATTTACACACACAATTCATCTTTGCCTGATCTTTTAATCCACATACGGAAGTCTCAGCACCTGCCTGTCCACACTTCCATACCTCCATAATCCTGCCAGCGAAGGCTCTTCACACTCACACCACACGAGGGAAGCAGCTAGGCGTGAGGGCGTGTAACCGTGATCCTAGAACTTGAAGGAGTGAGGACCCGAAGTTCAAGGCCAGTCTGAGCTACAAAGTGAGACGACCTCAACAGTAAATACAAGAAGCTTAGGGACGCTGGCAAGCAGCCAATGCAATGGTTCTCAACCTGTAGGTCATGACCCTCTCACATGGGTCATGGGTCCCCTGAGACCATCAGAAAACACAGATATTTGCATTGCAAAACGTAACAGTAGCAAAAATACAGTTTGAAGTAGCATCGAAAATAATTTTATGGTTGGGGGTCACCACAACACAAGGAACTGTTTTAAGTCACAGCATTAGCAGGGTTGAGAACCTCTGATCTAGTTGTGTGTTTTAACTTTGACAGGGACACAAATTCCTCTTACTCAAAACTTCAAGGGCTTTTTGTTTGTTTGTTTGTTTTGAGTTGTTTTTGAGATAGGGTCTCACACAGCTTCAAACTTGCTAAAGTAGCTGACGCTGGCCTTGAACTCTTGCCTCTGCTTCCCAAGTGCTTAAATAACAGGCATGTGGCGCCACACCCTGCACCCTCAAACTCCTCTAATCTGACTGGAAGGCAAACTATCCCCAAAGAGGATTCAAACCTTAGAAATCTTTGCCAATTCTTATATATACCCCCACTCTCAAATTAACACAAAGAAATTAGGAAGCCACAAAGCCTTATGTGTAATACAGCTAGGATAACTCTAAACTCCCAGTCAACTGTGATTTTTTTGAGATTTTTCAGCAAGCTGAAAAACTGTGTTTTAGCATTTTTGGCTACAGAGAAGCCACAGGAAGAGGGAGAAGACCTCTGTAACAGAAAACCGGAACTGGACGTTCAGATTTCACTTTCTAAACATGGAGCTTTAGTCCAGAAAGGCCTATTAAACCCAACCATGTGGCTAAGATCACTCACCAAAGTGTGAGGTAGTTCTCAAACGCTCAGGAAAACACGTGCACAGAGTGGCAGCACCCAAATCAAAGCAACCCTGAGCTGCAGCTTGAAGGAGCCAGCTGAACCTGGAAACACAGTCTGGCTGCAGGGACCCAGCATGCAATGCGATGCGGCACACACTGTGCCCCCAGGACAGCACCACTACCCATTATTTCTGACATGCACTTGCTGGCCCTATTTTCCAAGCGCATAATTGATAGAGGGGAGGTGCCTGGTGGCCTTCAGTAGAAGGCAGTCTTCTCAAATAAACTGAGCCATTGCTGTTGCCTCTGAGTGAGATGTATTTCCTATACATCAGGGACTGAATATTTCTTACACATCAGATGAAATTAGAAAAGAAGATTCTGGTGGTATGTGCCTATAGCTATATAGCCCGAGCTACATATTGAGATCCAGTCTGAAAAAACAAAGCAAAACAAAAAAACCTAAAAGCTGAGATGTAGCTCAGTGGCCTAACATCTTTGCAAGGCCTTGGGTTCCACCCTTAGCCCTGGGAAAACAAGACAAGCTACTCATTTGTTCATTTAACATGGAGAGTGCCTTGCCCCAAGAGGAATAGGAAACGTTAAGTGGTGATGTGCACATTTTTAATCCCAGAATTTAGGAGGCAGAGACAGGCGGATCTCTGTGAGTTCCTGGCTAGCCTGGTCTACATAGTGAGTCCCAGGACAGCCAGGGCTACACAGAGATACTCTGCTTCAAAAAAGAAAGAAAGAGAGAGAGAGAGAGAGAGAGAGAGAGAGAGAGAGAGAGAGAGAGAAAGAAAGAGAGAAAGAAAGGGAAAAAANAGAGAGAGAGAGAGAGAGAGAGAGAGAGAGAGAGAGAGAGAGAGAGAAAGAAAGAGAGAAAGAAAGGGAAAAAATAGCCCAACAACAAAAGCTAGAAGAGGCCAGCTTGGTATCTAGAGTTGTACAGCATGCGTTCAGTGTAGGCCCTGGCAGCAGTCAGGCAGGAATGTGGGGCAGGAGGTCATTGGGGATTGATTGTCTTATAGAGATGGAGGCAGGCAGATCTCTGCTTGATCTACAAAGTGAGTTCCAGGACAATCAGGGCTACACAGAGAAACCCTGTTTCAAAAAACAAGCCAATAAGAAAAATCTTTCAACTTAGTTTTGCTCTTCTTTTGGCTCCTTCCTGTTTGACATTTCTTTTGGTTTGGTTTTGTTTGTTTCTGAAACAGGACGTCATTGTGTACCCATGATGGGTCTGAAGTAGCCCAGGCAGGCCTCAAGCTCTCCATCCTCCCATCACCACTTTTAAGTGCTGGGGGGACAGATGTATGCATTCATCCACACCACACACCTGGACTACCTGCCAAATTTCACTTCCAGTCTAGGAAGACGGCTTGCCGACTGACTAAGCTATCTGTCAGTCTCTTAATCTCTCAAAGACATTTCCAGTCTCCAGGCCACGGTGAATGCTATTATCTACCCTGGGCTCAAGTAGCCCAGGACTCTGTAACCGGCTTTTAAAGTCTACCCCCAATGCCATTTGTGCCCTCTAATTCCATCCTTTTAGAGATCGAGATCTTTATTTTATTCAGAAAGACTAATGGCTTTACTGAGAAGTAACATACCCAGTACGGAATTCATGCCTTGCACAACTCGGTCGTTTTGGTAACTATCACCACAAGTCCAGTTGAGAACCTTTTCAGCCCTCCAAAGCATTCCAGTGTGCCTGGCACTATCCCACTGCCTCACCAGGCACGGTGGCCAACACCTTTGTCTTACTCGCTGTTCTACTGCTGTGCAGAGATACCATGGCAACTCTTACAAAAGAAAGCCTTTAATCGGGCTTGCTCAGTTTCAGTGGGCTAGTCCATTATCATCATGGTGGAAAACAGCAGGTATGGGGCTGGGGCAGGAGCTGAGAGCTTTACTTGCTGATAGGAATCAAGGCAGCAAGCAGAGTGAGATACTGGGCCTGGCAAAGGTTTCTTAAACCTCACATTTCCCGGTGACAGCCACACCCCTTCCAGCAAAGCCACACTTTCAAATCCTTCTCAAACACTCCAACAAATGACTGACATAAGCTTTCAAATATATGAGCCTGTGGGGTCCACTCTCATTCCTGTACCATCTGCAATCCCAGCTCTGAGAGGCTGAGGGAGGAGCTCTGCTCTAATTTCAAGGCTAGCTTTGGGCACACAGTTAAATACCGGGTCATTCAGAACTGTCTAGCAAGGCCTTGTTTCAATGAACAAAAACTGCCTCTCAAGTGCTAGGATTAGAGCTGTGTTGCTATATTTGGCAGTGGTCCATGGTACACTGGGGTTTTGTTTGTTTTGTTTGAAGCACAGTTTCACTCTGTAGCCCAGGCTGGTCTGAAATTCACAGAGATTAGCCTGCTTCTGCCTCCTGAGTGCTGGGATTAAAGGTGTGCACCACCACATCCAGCTAGTCCTTCTGTTTTTAATGTAGCTCAACAAATTTAATGTGGTCACACAGCTGGGAGATGCCAACGTTGGGATAAAATCTAGCTCTGTTTTAAGTGAAAGTTGTATTTTGCTGGCTTTATCACAAAATAAATAAATAAAATCAAAGCAAAAACAAAAAACAAAAAAACGGAAGAGGGCAGTTGTTAAGCTGCTGCAGCCCCCGGTTCAACTGATTAATCCCTTCCATTCTCAAGCCATCGCTTCTGGAACCTCATCATCAACCATTCTGCTTCGTTATTTATTAAAACATTTGTTATATGATTAGTCAATTGGACCAAGTGCTGTGGCAGCTAACAACTACCTTCTCCCAATTTTTTTTATTTGGTTTTATTTATTTGTTTTGCAATAAAGTTAACAAACCACAGGCTTCAGCTTAAAAGAGAGCTAGATTTTATCCCAATGCTGGCATTTACCAGCTGTGACCATATTAAATTTATTGAGCTTT